AAACATATCGTGATATGAAAAAATCTTATATCGCCCAGCTCTAGTGAATGTAAACTGAGTCAGAGTAAACCAGCATGTAACCACTCGATGGGACTGATGTGTAAACATATGCTGCACAGCTGTGTGAAAATTAACCTTCAGTGATAGAAGACTGCTGTCAGTAGCACTGTTAACATTAGCCTCACTCGGCACATTAACTTGATTATCTGTACAATGTTTTGCATGGTTTGCCACACCAAAATTTTATCAACATTTTTAATGTGATTAGGCTATTGACAGATGTGATTGATTTCAACAAGCCCTATGAAGGGCTTGAAGCATAAAATGCAGAAAATCTGCGAGACATCAAGACATTACTTTATGTAGATGTGTTTAATAAACTCATAAACATAAATACCAGCTTTTTTCTGTTTCAAATTGTAAACATGCTGAGGAAGCTTTTGTATTAGTAGTTGTGGCCAAATTGTTGTACTTCAAATGGGTGGGGGAAAAATATAGCCGATGTAAGTCTCCAACGATGCACTTAACACTAATCAGAATTCATAGCATTCCCCGAATGCTGGCATAATGTTTACTCATCTCTATAATGTCTCATTTTTTGCCAGAAGTAGGGCGTGTCATGAAGACGACCATTCTGCTCTTCTGTTTTGTGCTGTTTTATCTGTTTAATTAACCAGTCCTGACAAGTGTCTGTGGAGCTCAGTCTACAATGTGTCATTACTCCATAATGACAGATGCTTATTGCTGCACAACAACAGGAATTTACGGTTATGAATCTACCGCCTTGTATGATATGAAATAAAAGGAGTAATATAAAAAAGGCATTCTACTCCTGGCGTTCTGAGGAGACTTAGCTGTCAGGAGTAGATTGAATTGTAATGAAACAGCTGCAGTGTGGTAGCGATGGTGAAAAAGCAGAGCGTAGTAAGATGTGTTAATCCTGTTCAAAGATGGTGGGTATGCTGGCTGACTTTGAAGTCAGCTACGCTCGCTTCCAGCTCTGTATTTTATTCCTGGATTGTGCTTGCTGTTCAGAAAAAAATATTTGTATTCCTGTTAAAAGATACCTGAGAGAAATGGTCTGAAATGCAAACAGAAGTGGAAGCCTTCTGCACTCAGGAAATATAGAAGTGCATAAAATAATGACTGTGTTGCATCTCTCTCATCGTTGCTTTTAACTGCTTTTCTACATACATTTTTTTTAGCTGTTGTAAAACAGCTTAAACGACTTAGTGGGATTACAGAGAGCAGCTTTATAGCAGACTATAGTCATAAGCTGTTTGATCTGATTATCCATACAAGACAAACATTTCATTGATATAATGTTATTTACATCTAGAGGTTCTGGCTCTTCAGCAGTGTAATTTACAGATGGGACTCCCCCCTCTGAGAGCATTAGCCTAGCCCAAAATCCGGCTTCAAATTGGGCTGTGTTGTTTAGTCATCTGTGATGTTGTGAGAACAAACATTTTGCCTTTTGGCTGTTGTTGTGGTGTCAACCAAAACAGAAAATACTTGCATACTACTTCCCTTCAGTTGACATCAGCACAACGCAAAAGTAGAAAAAATGTTGGAAACTGAGCTTTTAGAGCAGTCTCAAGCCGGAGCTTTTGGCTCACTGGGATTATTTATGCATCGATATATTCGATCGCAATATTTGAAATCAATATTTGAGTGTTTGTTGTGTCGATCTGTAAATATGAAGGGTTAAACAAGCCATGTCAGTACTAGACATGCAAATAAATTCTAATTAAGTTTAGAAGGTAATTGATAAAAACATTAAGCTACTTAGGTGCATGTAATGAAATAAAGCCCTACAAAATATTTACTGTGAGTTGGGTAAAGCATGAAAAACATTTCTGTATTGTATTAATCAGTTGCATTTAGCTGGACTTTTCCCTTGCCTTTTAATCATTATTATAATTGATTACCTTCTTGAGCTAGCCGGAAACACTCATCCCTGTTCTGCTTCGCTATCAGTTAACAGTAAGCAGAAACAATGAATGTAGAGGGTTGAATGAACAGACAGGTGATGTGTTGTGTGTTGCTGCCTATAGGTCACAGCATGCTTAAACTTGTAGTTATATCCTTGTCCTTGATTAAGTCCTTTGGCCTTTTCTTTGTATCTCTCTCTCTTCATAGATCAATACAAGAAATCGGAGAAATGAAGATCAAGCAACAAATTGAAGACGTGAGTTTGAAACAAAAAAGCAGTTCTCACCACACTGATCTGTTTTATATTCACAGGTCCAAGGAGCACTGCTCTGTATTATCAGCTACTGTTTCACTTTTTCACAGACATATTTGAGATTTGTATTAATAATTTACTAGAATACGCCCTCACAAAGGTGTACGTGTTGGGACAATCCATGCTTTTACTTCTTTCCTTATTAATCTGCCCGAGATTTGTTTTGTTTTTTTTGTTGAAAAACACACCACCACACACCACCGATTGTATTGTTTATGTTTCTTGCCCTAGTTTTTCTGTGACCTGTTTTTTTGTTTTTTGTTTTTTGTTGTTTTTTTTTGTTTATTATTATTATTAGAGCAAGTGATAAAGTTATATAAATGAGGGTGCCTTCTGTCAGCAAGGATCATCAAAGCTTTCAATATAACTCCATAAAAAGTGTTATAATGATCTCGTCAAGCAGCACTTTTGCAGATAGCCACAGTTAAAATATTCGGTGTTATCTTTCGAGGACAGTTTTTCTATAAGGCTGGAAGGGTCACCCGAGCAATGTAAATGATGTGGAGAAGAGCATGTAACTGCAGTTTTTGTTGAATGTAATTTAGTACATTCATAAGACTGGAAACATTAATCATAAATTATTTTCTGAAGTATTGAATTTTGGTAAAGAGTAAATAGCAGTAAATCTGCATGCACATCTTTATCTGCCCTCTTGTGACTTGGGTAAAACTATCGTTAGACGTAATCCTGGGAGATATATTTCAAATCTGTTAAGGCATTAAACATCAAAACCCACAAAGAGCAAATTCTGTGACAAGACTGTTGCTGACAGTATCAAACGCCTTGGACAGATCTACAAGTAGTGCACAGCAGGGTTGCTTCTTGTTGAGTGAATTAACAGTGTCGTCATCAGTAACAGCTGCAGCAGTTACTGCGCAATGAGCTCTGTAGCCGAGGGAAATTATTATTCTCAGGCGAGCGACAAATTGTGAGCTGACTCCTAATTCTAGGATTTAGAACAGGCAGCACAGGTGGATAGTTAAGTGTGACCAACTGCAGGGGATTTTTCATGAAGTGAAAATGGATTTAAATATTTGTACAAGTGGTGATGAATAGGATCGTAGATGCGTGGAGTCAGGTCTGCAGACCAAAACAAAAAAACACTCACCAGCTAATTTTTGCTGTTTACATTTGTCTACGCCTCATCATTCTGTGACAGGTCTGAAAAAAAAAGTTAAATAAAGACTAGAAGCTTTTTTAATGTTTTTTTAATGGTTGAGTTGTTGGTTTTGACTTTGGTCTTAAATATACAGCACTAACTTATAACCCCCCGTCAAAATAATAATTAAACGCTTACCATTTCTACTTGGTGGTTATTGCGTGCAGTATGTGTATAGAGTTTTCGTTACTATTTCAGTATAAAAAAGCTAGATAGATGCTCTTTGTTTCTTGTTAAAGTAATGAAACATTTCCTGAGTTTTGACTCTTAGAAAAAAGTTGTTTTTGTTATTTTTTTGTTACTTTTACATTAAGGTTTAATGTGAGTATTCACTTTGTGACACAGTCTGGTACACAATAGTTACTTAGATCAGGGCAAGATTATTAGAGGTAAAATAATTGTTGTTTGGTTGATAGTCTGCAAATCTGCTGTAACATATCCGTTAATGAAGATTTGTCGATTTACATTAATCCAGGGGTGAGCAACTCCAGGCCTCGAGTGCTGGTGTCCTGCAGGTTTTAGATGTGTCCTTGATCAAACACAGCTGATTCAAATGGCTAAATTACCTCCTCAACATGTCCTGAAGTTCTCCAGGGGGCTGGTAATGAACTAATCATAGAGTCCCATGATAAAGCTGGTGTAGCATTGCATGCATTGAAATTTTCAGTTGCTGTGTATCACTCAGAGTTTTTGAATGTAAATCTATGTTTTTATTCAGGAAAACAGTTATTTGGAGTTCATTTTTGTTGGCTCCATCCAGCAAATTGAATCGAAACTGAATTTGATGCACACGAGGACACACACTGTTGTAAAGCCAGCTTCGTAAAAGCAATTATAATTCCCTTAACACTGAATAAAAGTGAGTGCTTTTCACAGATTGCAGATGGTCACTGAAATAATTGCAGTCTGTTATGATGTTGACCTTAGAGTTTTCGATCCCGTGAAAGCCATCATATTACTGGTAACCTTTTAATCAGTTTGAAGTATAAATCCACACTGTGATTATAACATGAGGTGCAAGCAGACTTGTTATTTATACACTGAACCTGGGAAATGACTTGCTGCCATAAAGCACTTAAATGAATTCAATAAAAGATTGTGAGGAGATTTTACTCCTGTTAGCTAAAAATAGGATTGTTGCACTTTGTGCATCCTGAAACCTCTTCAGTCCTGTTTATGCCTCAGTGCCACGACAGCTGTGCCCAGAGGTGCTGCGTTTTTTGTTTTTTTTTTGGCTTGTCCGTCTGTACCTTCGTCCAACCGTCACACTCTCATTAACATGACTGCTCTTGAAAGCAGGGGATTTTTTTTCATAGTTGAAGTCAAAAGTGAATACTTTTTATTTGACGATCAGATGTCACTGTGAGCTCATGTTTGGCCCATTCGTGGGAATGATATTGCAGGAACATATGGAGGGAAATTGATTACATTTGGTGCGGCTGATTAGATTTCATTTTTTGCCATTGGCCAAGGTCACTGTGATCACACAACACCTGGTTTTGTTGATGACTTGAGGATTTATTTGCTCTTATGGTAATATTACAAACCAGTGTTAATGGGATAAAACAATAAGGTGAGGGTATTTTATAATATGAGCTGTTGCATTTTAGACTACATGCCATTTCACCTGACCACATAAGCACACATACTCTGTTCTGTGGCTTTTAAGCAGATTCTAACTGTCACACACAAGCTTCTGTGATTCATCAGGGACAGTTTAGGGTTTAGTATTTTGCTCAGGGACACTTTAACGTGCTGCCTGGAAGGGCTGGGAATTGAACCACTGACCTTCCAATTGGTAAATGCCCCAAAAATATCTTTTGACCTTTTAAAAGGTCTTTGGTTCCCAACTATTAAATACTTTGAAAGTCTTTACTCCATGTATTTATTTAAACACACAAATGGATGCAAACCACAGGTTGAGTGGTTGGCATAGAAATGCAAGGGGTAGATTCTAGTTCAGTCATATAGTTATACCTGTAGAAAACACTGTCACTGCAGGTAGCTGCAGGGAGTTTTGAGTAATAGGCAAAGACTTCATTGAATAGTTATTTTTAATGCAATGATACTATAAATTAGTTTTGTTCTGGTTTCTCTCGAGTTCAGTGCATACAGTGAAGTTGTAATTGCTGGTTCAGAGTGTTGGTCAGACAAAACAGGCAGTGTTAATATAGTCATGTTGGTTTTCTGTCCTTTAAAATTGTTAGATATAAACTAAAATAAAAAAATCTATTTCTGACATTTGACAGGTCAGGTTTTTTTGAGAAGAATCCTGCAGTGAAATAGGCAATTATATTAAAACAATCCGCAGCGAGCGTGTTTATAGCATTTGGTTATTATAAATCATTGGATATACGATACAGGAGTGCTTGTACACTTGATTATAGGCTTATCAAGTATTTGACAAAGTTGCTGTCTGTGAAGTTCATCCTTTTTCCATCCTTTTAATCTTGAAATTCGACTCACATTTCTCTTCAACTACAGTGAAATGTTTCCATCAGCTCTGACTCAATTCTCTCTGGGAATATCTATCATTTCTTGCTGCTTTAATCTGTAATTCTCTAAAGTGTAAGTTTGTGCACTAATCATTTTTTGTATTTGTGTAATTTCTTTTTTGAATTGTCTGTACCAAAGGAAAAATATTTTCAAATGTCCATAGGGATCACTATGCTTTTTGAATTGTTTGTATTGTATAGGCTAGTTTGGGTCTAAAGGACAGGAATATTCAGTAAACATAAAAATTTGCACGTTTTGCAAGGAATACACATGATTTCATCTCTTGACTAAATCAATGTTATGAAAATAACATGAACTTAGTGATAAACTTACATTAGCATGCTGCGGTGGTAAAATTGAACCACTGGAGGATTAATTTATTATTTACTTAAGGGCATTGCTAAATCAGCTCATGCATTTCTCCCTTTTTTATCTCACTTTAGGTTGTGGCTCCTCTCAAAGAAAAGATTCGTGACCTGGAACAAAGGTTTGTATCTGTTTTTTTTGTTGTTTTTGTTTCCATTGAGATCTTAAAATATTTGCTCATAGCTCGGTGTGAAGGAAAGCTTAATGGACTAATAAGTAGGTTTAAGGGTCAGCGTTATATATGCCTTCATTTCCTACTTTAAACTGTTGAATTTTCATTTGAAAGGGCACTTATAGACTGAGAATGCTGCATCTGAATAACTTGCACATGGATTAACATTCTGTGCTTATTTAAAAGGTTTATCTCTCTTTAACAGACGTTGAAGACAGAATGAATGCAACAGCAGCTAATTAATTGCATCTGGTGGTATTTGTTACTTGTGATAAGAAGATTTCTACATCACAGGCTATCAATTAATTAACCTAATTTTGCATTGTTTTTATGGTAGCATCTCTGGGTACAGTAATCCAGCTTGAAGGTGTTAATTATACATATTTGTCTTTAGTACCTTTAATGCTAATAACACTGAAATACAAAGGTACGTGTTTAAATGAGCCCGTTGTCCCTAGTTTAACATGTGTGAGGGCAACAAGAACCTCTAAATGGAGCACATTTTATATCTACCTTGTGCTCCTGAAGAGCGACTGTGGATCATTGAAAGCTAAGCCCTGTGAAAAACAGTTCTCCCTTACTGCTTTAACAGGATTTAAGAGGGGAAATATCAATTAGGTGTCACCAATCAAATGGCCTTAGTTATTTGATCATCAGCAACTGTGAGCACCTCTATAAAGTAGAAGATCTCAGGGTTTGCTGGTATGGAACATTCAGGTGTGTGTTACTAAAAGGCTGCAGTGTTCCTAAGAGTGGACGTTCTGGTAAATTCAAAGTGGAGATGTTTGCCTGTAAGGTTTGACAAAACCCAAACACAGCACATCAGCACAAACACTTTACACTAGCTGTCAAGCCAAAAAAAGGGGCTGCTTTTCACAGTGTTTCCTTGTGAGTGAACAATATTAAAAGAAAGTAATTAAATAAATCAATGAATAAAAGCTTGAGCTAAAATAATGGAGGTACTGAATATTGTTTCCCCTTGAGTGAGCTAATTTTGTAATGAAATATATGATTGTTTAAGATGTCATAGATAAGGAATATTGAATACTTTTTGATTTTTATGGTAATTCTAAATATTCTTTGGTTCATGATGTTTTGGAAAACCATAAATAACCAAAAGGCAATAGTAAAAATTATTATGAGTAGTAGCAGCGCATTCATTTTAAAATTTCCTACGACAGCCAGGCCTTCATTTGTTCATATGTTTGGTCAGAGGTGCTACAAAATGTGTTTGTAAAACACGTGAAATTATTGATTAAACACTGAATTTTGCGTGAAACGTTCGTACACACAATTTATGCACAGACTTGTGTTTACAGAGATACTAAAGTGATCCCGAGCACAGCAGCAAATCTACAACAGAAAGGCTCAAATGAAAAAATAGAAGAATCAAGGTGCTGCAATGGCCCGGTCAAAGTCCTTTACTCAACCTGACTGAAATGTTTTGCTGCGACCTTCAGAGTTGAGCATTAATGAATGCCAGCGAATCTCAATAAACTTTAGCATTGTTGAAGGAGAAGAGTGGGGCATAATTCCTCCACAAAAAATGTGAATGTTCTGTGAAAAATGTTCGTTTGTTTCATCATGCATACAGCACAGGCTTAGTGGTGCAGCGTTGTGGTTATTTAAAGGCCAGTTTTAATAATCAAGTTGAGGTTATTTTTGAAACAGTGTTGTATTCCCATAAGCAGTTTTGAAATAAATACACTTCTCTAAATGATTAACCAGCTCATATCTTTGTTTTTTAATTGTAGCTACACCAAAGGTAACCATAAAATATAGTTTATTGATGTTTATTAATAAGATTACAGGACCTGGATTGAGAGTAAGATCCTAGATTGTTCTGTTTTGCTTTGGGCTTATGTGATTGTTTCTCCAGATGTTCTCTACAAAAGGTTTTTGTGTTCTCTCTTACAGTTTTTCTCAGAAATACCCACCGGTGAAATTCCTGTCAGAAAAGGATCGTAAAAGAATTTTGGTATGTAACACATCCAAGTGCAAATCGTATTTTCAGTAACCATGACATAACCCTGAGCTTTCATAAGCAACGGCCAACAGAAGCACAAGCTTTCCTCAAAGCCTGACTTATCTCCATGTTAACAGCAAACTGAGGGAAGTAGAACTTGCAGAAATGTGTATCTTAAGTAGGGATGGGTGTCGTTTAAGTTTTATCCGATACCGGTGCCAAATCGGTACTTTTGAAATGGTGCCGGTGCTTAAACGGTGCTCTACTGGTGCTTAAAGAATGGAGAACACAAACTTTGTCCAAAAACCTCTTATGTTTT